CCATGGACATGAAATTGGGATTGTAGAACGCAGGAACGAGACCAAGCAATAGGACACTTATTTTGGTATGTGGTGATCAGAACTGACCAATCTGAAATGCAAACATTTTTGCTTCTTGGCTTCTGTCAGTGTAAAGGTTACATTGTCTTAAAGCCAGAGCAAGAGGAAGATACTATCCATTCAATAAAAGTCTACTGCTTACTGATATGTGCAACAGCTTACTCTTCTCTCTTCATTTAGCTTTTGTTTGCCCTCTGCTGAAAGTGTGATTAACTGCATCTTGAGTCCTGGTTTCAATCACATAACTTGTGAACCAAACATAATTGCAAGTATTAAATGTGCTCAATCTTAAGTGTAGAGGCCAAAACTTACAGCTTGCCATTTAGTCTAAATGTTTCCTTACCTATGATGCATGTATAATCAGAACAAACACAACATTGATCATTTTGCCTGTTATTCACTCTTTCATCTCCTCTGAGGAACAGCGTGAATCAAAAAAACAGAATTGCTCCAAGCAGCAATTTGAGTCAAGCTAGTTTCTTGCTGACAAACAGGTTGGAAACAGCCACCTTACTTCTGGCTGTACAATCAAATTAGCATGTACACATGAAAGATAACCTCTTTGAAGTTTGACTATGCTAGATTTGTGTTCAAGTGCTCCAGGGAAATAAAAATGCACTTTTCTCTAGATTGCAAAACAAGCTATAAATTAAGAGTGAGAATCGTACAATGGACTACGGTCCACCACTTACAGTCAAAGTCACTTCAATGAATTCCCACTTCTCTAAGTTTTATATATATAGTTTAATTAGAGTTGGATCATTCAAAATTCTTGGCACTAAAAGATTGTCTACATTGGATTAATTACACCCAGTTTGTTTTTTAATGCCTTCATGGGATGTGGCCATGACTGGCTCAGCAAATATTTATTGCCCAGAGGGTAGTTAAGAGTCAACCGCATTGCCAAACATCTGGAGGGGCACGTATGCCAGACTGGCTTGAAGATAGCACGTTTGCTTCTCTAAAAGGATATTAGTGAACCAGCTGGGTTTTTATGTCAATTGACATGGCTGACATTAGAGCAGCGCCTAATTTTTAACGAATTCAAATTTCAATCCAGAACATCGACTGGAGTTCTGGATTGATTGTTATTACTATTTCACCACGGTCTCGATTGAAGTGGTCGCTTGGGGAGAACAAAGACATGTGGGGACGTGATTAAATTAAATGATTGAATTCAATCATGGGACTGGCTCCACAGCCTGAGTGGTCTACACCTATTCCTACTTTTTATGTTCTTACGAAACACCGTGGGATATCTTAAGAGCTATATATCATAGAAAATATTAAAAAAATAATATTTTCTAAGTTCTAAGTTCTTTCTTTAGCAGCTTATGACAATGAAGAGGCAGGTTTCATCCTCAATATCGCGTAGTGACCAGACAGATCATCAGAACCATTCTGCTGTGGGGGTGGAGAACTCAAACCTCTAATTTTCAAGCTCCTCAAGTGCTCGTTTTAGTAGCTGTTATTGCCAGAGGTGAAGAAGCAGACCTATTTACCTTTTCACTAGGTTTGGAGCAAAATCAACAAACCAATTAGCCTCACACAAAACCTTTAAAATTACTGAGAGTGTAGGCCATAATTTCTTTGTGCAGACATACTGAAATACTGCATTAGTCTTAGTTCAGCTAGTGTTTAGACAAATGGTTAAAATAGAGTGGGGGTGGGGGGTGAAGATTTGGGAGGATGAAACAGCATGGAGAAGGGGGAGAAAAAAAAGAATATGAGTGGATTGAAACTTGGACAGTAGATTTTCTTTCCTCAAATTGCCTCCTTCTGGAATGAGCCCATTACTACAACTCTGCATATTACTTCCACGCCAAGCATTGTGCATGGGTAAGGTGTTGGTACAACTTTTAACATGACATGCAGAAAGCACAACTCCGATATAATTCAATGTTTTTGGCACCAAGTCAGAGAAGCTACAAAGATAACCAATGTGGGAAGTGAAACTGCTGCAGTAGGAAGTTGCTCTTCTATTAGCAGATTCAAGTTTTGTTCATATTAACAATAATGCACACAACCTCCATTCTCCTCTACCAACGATCCGTTCAGTTGCTAGTGAGGCAACGCATAGCTTTGCAAGCTCAGGTATGAGAGTCCTGAACAAGCTAGACATTTGTTTGGATCTAAACTGATAGAGTTAGAATAATTTAAAAAATTTATAGTGCCTGTAGCAACGGAGGTTAAGAGAATAAGCAGGACTCCAGGATTCAAACTGAAACATGAAAAGAACCTTGACCATACAAAACTTCAATAAAACAAATAAACAGAAACAACTAAATAAGTGGACTGAACAAGAAAGATAACGATTCTAAACAAAGCAAGATGCTAGTTTCAACCAACTCAACAGTCATAATCCAGCTTAATCTTTACACTGTGGCCTTCACACCAATTGGCTTTTAAATTTATTCATCCTCCAGAAGCCAGTACCTCGTACTTAGTAAAGGTATTTCTGACCATTATGCACCACAGCCCACAGACATACACAGATGTGACACTACTCCATGGCGAGACGTTTCCCCACTCTACAGAAGTGCCCAATGCTTAAGAAATCCCTTTTCCATTCTCAATGCACACAGAACTGAGTTCTTTGTTTAAGCACAACAGTCTACATTTCTGGCAGCTGTTCAGAGAATAGTTCCATACTCAAGCAGTTACCAGCATATAATCTCCTACCTCCATAGAAACCTTCCAGTTTATTTGCTTCTAGGAATGTCTCGACAGCGTCACAGGACCCAAAACTTTAACTCTGATTTCTTTCCACAGATGCTGCCAGACCCGCTGAGATTTTCCAGCAATTTCTTTTTATTACAAATTCAAGCATTGTTTGCAAGCACAAAAAGGCATAATGAGCAAAATGAAAGTAAATAACCTCCAACTCAGTTAAAAGTGAAACCAAAATGCTATGTTTTTAATCTTCAATATAATCCATAAATTATAATTTCATTCTGGAATTTGTGTTAAGTATTTTCAATAACATATCTTACTTACAACCCAAGAGCTTGAAAACACAGACATTGCAACAATTTACTAAATACCAATGTAATTTATGCGAAATCAACGTGCCACTTGCTCAAGTTACAATAATTACCCTACAGTTTAAATACACAGTTTAGCAGTCTATTTCTTCAGGGGATTTGGATAATCTATTCAGTTAAGCAATGAATTAAGCTGGAATACCATTAACATCTTGGAGGAACACCAATGATTTATACCCGCACACTCAGTCAGCACATCTGAGAGTTTAATCACAAGGTCAAATACATTCACAAAATATTCTCTTAACTGACCACGGTTCTATCTTTCAAATGCAGCTGTAATAATGTGGCCAAAAATCTTTGTAATAAATGGTTTCTACATTGACAACACCAAGAGGGATCATTGAGCGTATAAACATGATTTCCACCAGCCCACTGACAGAACATTTGACAATAATCACGCACACAAAATAAAAATGATGAACAAAATTGAATATTTTCTTTCTTAAACTTAAATTTTGAGGCTCTTGTTGTATTATGCAGAGTCTATGGTGACTTTCTATGTTTAAATATGATATTTTGGCAGATGTTTTGTCAAATTTGCGTCAGCATTCAGCAAGTTACTGACCTTGCACCCTCATGTACTTCTTCACCATTTTAAAAGTCATACAAAAAACTGAGTTGGTTAATTTAACTCAAATTTATTAATTCCAAACAAATTACCAGCACTCAATTCTCAGTACGAAGTACCATTCTCTATGGAAATTTAATTCAGATTTGTCCAACTGTGCAACTGTTTCCAACATCCATTTGCCAACGGGTTTATGGAGTTGCCCCACTGATCATAGATGTGGGTTCCACAAACCAGTTTAACCACAAACAAATCCCATGAACTTTGCACAGCATAAATCAGAAATGAGGACTGTAGCCAAATGAAATACGCACGTGCGCCAGAGGCGGGGGTGGAAACAGAGAAGGGATTTAAATCAAAATAGGGCAAAGAGAACATGGGCTTACTGTGGGAATATCGGAGGGTAGTGCTGATGCAGGAGAAGATAGTGCTGTCAATAATGGGATAAAAGGATGGGTTGGGGATATGCACAATAAAGTAGGAGGAACAGTTGCAGGAATGAAGAAAGTAACCGAGAAAAGGAAGACTGAAGCCATGATGCACTGAAACATGAGCGCGCCATCTTTAAATGTGACGCTTTGTGAAGCCACTGTGGTAGTAGATGAGCAGACACTACTGCATGCATCTAATTCTTCAAAGAATTGGATAACTTTAGTTTAAAGTGGAGGATGGTGGTTAAGCAGCACTGGAATAGTGGAAATGAAAACAGAAATCACTACAGAAACTAAGCAGGTCTGGCAGCATCTGAGAGGAGAAAACATGAGTCAACATTCCAGGTCTAGTGACATTTCAGCTGAAGGGTCAAAGGACATTTCTCCACAGATGTTGCCAAACCTGCTGAATTTCTCTACCATTTTGTTTTTGTTTCCATTTCCAGCATCTACATTTCTTGCTTTTATTATACTGGAATAATTGAGTGTGGAGATGACAATGGCATGAACAACATATTAGGCAGCCCAAGAATGGAAATAGCAATGGAGGTGGAAGTATAACCAAGGATTCAGGAGCTCAATTCGGGCTCAAATAGGATGTCAAAGTCGCAAGGAGTCTGGTACTCTGCAGCCAAGGAGGCAGTTCGTGGCTATGCCCAACAGATGAAGATTTCTGTCTTTACAATGCTTAATTGGAAGATATTATGCCTTATTCAACTCATGTGGGACTGACTGATCCTTGACTGTAGTTTCACAGGTTTATCATCACTATGCAGTCTAATTTGCTTCACTACAGGATTAACAACAACAGATCCACTGAGCATCATCTTTGGTAACTAACTTGTAAAGGCAAGTTCTTAACAACTTTATTTCAGTTTTACAAATGGTTCTTACCCAGCTGAAGTATTAAGACTGCGTCCTCAATCACTTTCAGAGCTAAATGGAAATGTCTATAAAAGGGATAACACAACACTCTTCTGCAGAAAGACACAAGAACTTCCTGAAGAGAATGGTAAGTCTGTTAAACAAAAAAAAAATAATCATAGCTGTATCATAATGTCATTCATTTCAAAAGGCAACATCTTTTATTTTCACTCAAGAAAATCTGGCATCAAATTTACTGCAGCCAAGGTAAATACAAATGAAGCTTGTTCTCACAACAGCAGTTCACATCCAAGAATCATGAACCTACGTGACTCTAAGGATGGCACGGTGGCTCAGTGGTCAGCATTGTTGCCTCACAGCACCAGGGGTCAAGGTTCGATTCTACCCTTGGGCACTTGGCTGTGTAGAGTTTGCACATTCCCCCCATGTCTGCATAGGTTTCCTCCAAAGATGTGCAGTTTAGGTGGATTAGCCACAGGAACGCTGAGTTACAGGGATAGGATAGTGGGGTGGGATGCTCTTCAGAAGGTTGGTGTGGACTTGATGGGCCAAATGGCTTCCTTCCAGACTGCAGAATAGAATCCCTATGAACCGAGATGCGTGAAAACACCAAACCTCAATTCATCAAAAGCTCAAACGTGCACATCAATAAGTAACAACCGTGGGTTACACTGCAGAAAATGCTACCTGTTCCCTCTTCAACAATAATTCAGCTTCAGTGTTATACATCTTAAACAGGTTTCAACTTAGAACATAATCTTGGATTTGTATGGAATTTTTGAACTCTGTCACTTTACCCTGGGGAGATAATTATCACAGACTATGCATCTTCTCACACCAAAAACAAAAATAAAACAAATACTGCCTCTTATTCAGAGGCATATACTGCATTTTCAAGCAACCACTTGTATTGTCAATACAAAAACTAGACAAAAGAAGTGGGATTACAGGGTGGATTGGTATACTTTTGTTGAGAAAGAACAGGCAGAAGCAAACATCCTTTTAGTCAACAGTGACACTGCTGGCTTACAACGTAATGGATTGTGGGTTTGTATCAACTGCTCCCAACATTTATTCAAATGAAGTTGCAAAGCACAAATCATACTCCCACAAAGAAAGGACTCAATCAACATCAGTCCATTCTCCACAACCTTTCGGATTTAACAAATTCAGGCAACCACCTGCACAGTACTGAACTTTCTAATAGAATCAGTCATACAGCACGGAAACAGACCCTTTGGTCTAACCAGTCCATGCCAAATATAAACCCAAACTAAACTAGTCCCATCTGCCTGCTCCTGGCCTATTTCCCTCCAAAACTTTGCTATTCATGTAGTTATCCAAATGTTTTTTAAACATAGTCATTGTATCCACATCCACCACTTTCTCAGGAAGTTCATTCCACACACAAACCACCGTCTAAAAAATTTGCCCCTTGTCTTTTTTTAAATCTCCCTTGTCTCACCTTAAAAATATGTGCCCCCTTGTCTTGAAATCCCCTATTCTAGGAAAAAGACAGCTACCATTAACCCTATCTATACGCCTCATGATTTTATAAACTTCTATAGATACAAAACAGTCAGCCATCTCATTTGATCATTGACAGGTGAACCCTTTGATAGCACGTACACAATTTGGTATTTAACCTATCCCTGGTCTGATAGTCATCGCTGTTAAAACTAAAATCACCAATGTGGGCACGACAATGAGCAGGATTTCAATGCGAACAAAAAAGTGAAAAATGCGACAGCTTATTGTTCATCATCTGCCTACCTTTTTTCTGAAATTGCAAAAAAAAATGAACCATAATAGTTGGGGAGACACATTACTTATCAATAAGTTCATTACCATGTTAATACCCGTTTGCTCTCCCGGCAAGATTTCCACATTCAAAATATTATCTAACTTGACCCAGCTCAGTTCATCTGCTGCTGAAATTCTATTTTATGCCTGGTTTTATTGTTTGCCGATGATACGTGGGTGTCGTTGGCTAAGCTGGTGTTTATTAACCAGCTGCAGTCCTTGCGGTGTAAGGACACCTACAGTGCTATTAGGATGTGTGACCAGCTGACAGTAAAGGAAACATGACAGGCTTCCAAGTCAGGATGGTGGGGGGCTCAGAGGGGAACATGCAGGTGGTGGTTTCCCCAAATATCTGATCTTGTACTTCTAAGGTGGTCGTGCTTGTGAGTTTCAAAGTGGTGTGTAAGGAGGCTCAGTGAATTGCTGCAATGCATCTTGTGGATGGCACATACTGCTCACTGCTTGGTCGTGGTGAAGAAAGGAACAAATGTTGAAAGTATTGGATGTGGTTCCAACTTAGTTGTTGCGTTTTGAATGATTTGAGCTCGAGTGTTGTTGGAGCGCCTCTCAATCAGACAAGTGCAGACTATTCCATCTGAGTTGACATGAGACTTGATGGTGGACGTGTACTGGAGACAGAAAGCAAACTGGGTGTTGCAGAATTCTTCGCTTCTGACCTGCTCTGCCTACAGTATTTAAAAGGCTGTTCAGTTCAGCTTTTAGAAGTCAGAACATAGGGCATGTACTGTGCTGTACCGTTCTTTGGGCCACGATGTTGTGTCTCTAAAGTATCTGACTCCACTACCAGTGCCGGCAGTGCATTCCATTCCACATGCCCACCACTCTCTGTGTAAAGAACCTACCTCTGACATTTTGATCAATGGTAATCCACAGGATATTGACACTAGGGGATTTATTACTCTAGACCAGACCACTCTGAAGCACACTGGGATGCCTTCCCTTCTGCACACTCAGTAAACTTAAGCTCATTTGTGGATAGCAGGAAATAACTGAAGTTGGTTGTCACAGTCAAGAGAGTCTGGTAACAATCAGTAAGATAAAAAAAATTTTTTTCTGGCAGATCAAGGCCCAACTCATAAACTTCAAAATATGCAAAGTGCACAGCACACCTAATTCAAAGGTTGAGCAAACAGGCAACTGAACGGGGTCTATCACTCGTCTTGTGTGGTTTTAAGAAGTTCTCCCATATCAGCATTGTACACTAGATAACTGAAGCATTATCAATCTTCAGTGACTCTCTAATGGCTTTTATCCAACAGCTAAAGAGGCATTTGCCATCTGTCACTCCAGTCAATCAATGACTCATAGCAACTTTATTTAGGTTCTTATACCCACAACTGCAGAGTTAATGATCTGGAGAGATAAGCTTTGATGACTGAACATCTATTTCGTTGCTAGAAACAGCTGAGAGCTCTTAAATTGACTGATTTACCAAAGACTATATAGAAGGCAACAGAAATGGCATAAAAAGGCTTTTCCCTTACATCCAGCCAACATAAAGTCCCGCTCAGTTTCCGGATGTTCCACGAGGATTCAGTCTGGAAAAAAAAACAAACAATTACACGAAAGTAAGCTCACTTTAAATACATTAACAAAGTTATTACTGACTGTACTGTTAATGTACCAGTTGTTTACTTTTATACCAGTCATCAGATTGAGGGGGTGGCAGCAAGCTGTAGATAGGTAGGCAGCACAGGAAGAACAAATACACCACTCTTCCCATTCTGGGAGATGAATCAATCCAGCTCAGAATGAGAGACATTCTCTCTCTCTCCGAGATATTGCTTGCTTTACTGAGCTCAAACACACTCCTTTCTTTTTAAAAGAAGTCAACTGCATGAATTTACAGGTGAACTTACATTAGCTTCTCCTTCAGTGATGCGGACTTCATAGGCATATGCGAGGATAATGTCAAGCAGGCCAAGGTAAACATTCTGGCATGACCTTTTATCCAGCAGGTAATTCTTGTTGGTGAAGTTTCGCAACTGTTCCTTTTCATCTTCAGAAAATTCAACTGAGGACGAGAGAGGTTTTGTTTTTTGTAACACTACTCCATCAGCTTTTGAAGCATAAGTTTAAGAAGGTACTTGTTTCAAATACATTTTAAAATAAAACGTGTTCAGTGAGGTTTCATTAACCGAACTACAACGCCACATCCTTATACAGCATATACAGGATAATAAAATGTTCCAAGGTGTTTCAGAGGCATTCTGAATCAAAATGTGGTACAGAGCCATTTAAGGAGATATTAGCAGATGCCTTATCGAGGAGAATATTGATTTGAAGAGGGTTGTACAAGAAACTGTCGAGTTTAGGGTATAAGCAGCTGAGGCATAGCCAACAATGGTGGAATAATTAGAGTCAGGGATGCCCCAGAGACCAGAATTAGACGAATGCAATTATCTCAGAAGGCTGTTTGGCTGACAGAAATTACAGAGATAGTTCGGAGCCTGATTATGGAAGGAGCTGAAAGCAAGGATGAAAACATGGAAAAAAAGACTTCTTTAACTAGGAGCCAAAGTAGGTCAGTCAGTGCAAGCAGGATGGGCGAACATCATTTTAGAGAGCACAGAGTATCGTATGGACAGGATCTCCAAGTGGTGCACAGAACCAACAGAAAATTGATGCCTAAAAGGTGGCACTGCAGGATGCACCAGCTTAGCCCACGTCACTTGGTGACCATAGTCCGTATGCTCTCAACCTCCCAAACCTGGCCTCAGTTCCCCTCTGTATGGGGGCACAGCCTCTACGTTAGGTCCCACAGGTCAAAAGGCAACTGAACGCGCATTTAAAGAAAATGGATATGCAAGGTTATGGGGAAAAGACTGGCATGTGGGAATAAATTCAACAGCTCTTTCAAGCAGCTGACACAGGCGTGATAAGTTGAATGGCCTCCTTCTGAGCTGTAGGATTCTACATCACTTCTGAAAGACTAAATGAATCTTAGCTCACTTAACAGTGAATTCCAAAGATAATGTTCGGCGCCATATTTAAGATATAAAAATCATATTTGGAAAACGTAAATGCAAAAAGATCACTCAAGTGGCTCACAGCCATCCATCCATGTGTCTCTGAATTAAAACATTGAAACTATGTTTCAAAATTTTACAGGTGTCTGAAATGGTTCCTTCAGACTGGATGGCAGCAAATGTGACCCTACCACTAAGAAAAGGAGGGAAAGAGAGAAAAGAGAGAAAACTGGGAAATACCTGTCAGCCTAATGTCAATTACAGGCAACGTGATAATCTATAAAGACGTGATATCAGAACATTTAGAAAATAATGGCAGGATTGGGCAGAGTCAACATGGATTTATAAAAAGGAAATCATGTTTAACAAACCTGCCAGAGTTTTTGTTTGAGTATTAACTAAAAAATAGATAAGGCAGAAGCAGTGTGTTGAGGATTTACATTCACACAAAGTTTTTTGATAAGGTACCACATATGACGTTGATAAACAAACAGAGCACATGGGACTGGAGAAATATACTGGCATGGAGTCACAACTGGTTAACAAATAGAAAAAAAGGTAAGAATAAATGGGTCATTTTCAGGTTGGCAAACTGAGGCTAATGGGCTATCACAAGGATCAGCGCTCAAGCCCAGCTACACACAAACTATACCAATGCTTTGAAATTGGGAATATTACACTTGATGCCCAAGTTTGCAGATGACATGAATCTTAGAGGGGTTGTGAGGACAATACAAATGTGATTGAAAGAGATTTACACGATCCAAGTGAATGGGCAGAAGTTTGGGAGACAGAATACAATGTGGAGAAATGAGGTTATCCACATTATTAGGAAAAGCGATGAGAGGCTGGCAAGAGTTCATGAGTGGAGGCTCAGTCACTGAGTACATTCAAGATTGAGATCAATAGATTTCTACATATCAGAAATATTAAAAAAACATGCAAGCAAAGTGCACAAATATCAAGTTGAAATTGAAGATCACCCACAATTTAACTGAATGGGCTGAATTAACGACTCATTTCTTATAAAGCCAAAAATACAAGTTGAACTGACTAAAAGCCGTGCTACTCAAAGTTAAAGATAAGATTGATAACCAACAAGATAACAGACAAAAATATCAGCAGAACTGCTGCAGTGTGCATAACTGCAAGCGAGAACAGCAAACAACGTTGTCAGAAACTAAAAAGAAGAAACTCCTCTAAAACCAGAGAAACCACACCCATTAATAGCACAAAGTCACCACATTAAACAGTGCTGAAAGAGTCACAGGACTGAAATCATGTTTTACTATGAATGACTACTGCACCCTGCTGTAAAGTGCAGATTTCCAGGTGGAGACTTCGTATCGTCAGCATCTTTTTGCAGACCCTTAACGTTTAAAGACAAATTCAAACATCCAATAATTGAACAGACCACCACAATAAAATTTCACATTTTTATACAAAAACAAAAACTTTATTGCATCTATGAATAAAATTTTAAAAAGCAAACCACGTTAAATCTTTATAAACTACAATGTTACGTTATGGTTTAAAAACCCCGGTCCCACTTTTTACTCTTCCTGCCCCTCAGCCTCCAGATTATTACTCCATTAAACACTGCAAGAACCTTGAAGGCTTATTCACTTCTTCTGCGACCAACCCAAAGCTGTGTGACAGCCCTCTCGAATTAACTTGAATTCTCCTTGGTACCTCAGCTTTCTCTAAATTATACAATTTACAGGGAAACCTTAAGTGACCCATAATTTTCCTGATATTCCTGTCATAACTGTAAACTGTTCAATTGTGGATTTAACTGTTTTCTTGCTTAGGGATTTAAAGATCAGGAACACCCTTGTTCCCAACAGTCCTCAATGCTCCTACAACTTCTTTATAGATGCTGGTCCACTGTAGACTTCAAGTTCCTGTCAGATGATGTCTTTTTTTGGGCCTGTGCAAAGCTAGCTGACTGACTGCACGCTTCACTGAACAAACAAATACACACACACACAAAGCAACAGGAACATTCAAACTTCTACTGTACATCTCTAACTGCACAGCATGTTTTGGGATGCTCTCACAAAAGAAAAAAGGAAACCAATTATTTTACCTTTAACACAACTTTAATTCTGCAACCCACAAGAATAATTCATATTGCTCATGGAATTTACAGCTGAATTTCTGCTCTTAACAAGCAGCCCAAAGGATGTATTGGGCCTTGGACGGTGTACAACTTACGTTTACAAGAATGATACCAGGACTTCAGGGGCTAACGTTAGGAGGAGAGATTATACAATTTAGGCATGTTTTCCTCTAGAATTTAGAAGGGTAAGGTGTGATTTGATCAAAGCCTTCAAGATATTAACAGGAAACTACAAGGTAAGTGAAGATAAACTATTTCCATTGGTTAGGGATTCCAGAACTCAGGGGTACACAGTCTGAGGATTAGGATCAGACCGTCCAGGACAGATGTTAGGAAGTGCTTCCATGTACAAAGGGTGGTAGAGGTCAGGAACCCCTTTCCCCCAGTGGCACTAGATGCAAGATTAGTTGCAGAGTTTAAATCTGAGATAAACACATTTTTGTCAGGCAAATGTATTAAGGGATACAGGCTAAAGACAGATGCATGGAGTTAGGCCACAGATCAGCCATGATCTCACTGAATGGTGGAATAGACTCGATGGGCTGAATGGCCTCCTCCTGGTCCTGTGTTCCTAATTCCCTTGTAGAGCCACTGTCCCCAGATCCTGTGTTTTGGAACTACATGCATAAATTTCCATCTTTTCCTTTACTTGTCCATGGGATGCAGGTATCGCTGGCCAGGCCAACATTTACTGCCCTGGAGAGGACGCCAACGAAGTGTCTGCCTGAACTGCTGTGATGCTTAGGGTGAAAGTCCAAAACACAGTGCTTTTAGGGAGGGAGTTCCATTTTTTGACTCATCGACAGTGAAGCCATGATAATATAGTTCATTCAGGATCAGGAGGGGTATGAAGGACAACATGACCAGAGTGGTACTCTCATTCATCTATTGTTGTTGCCCTTCTTGTTGGTATAGATTGCGGATTTGTAAAGGGCTGTTAAAAAAAAAAGTCTTTGTGAGGTACCTTGTAGATGTGAACACGTGGAGGGATGACAGGAGACAAGTTACTCACTGAGGAATTCCTAGTTGCTGATCTGCTCTTATAACCACAATATTTATAAGTCAGGACCAGTTCAGTTTCTGGTAAAACGGTAACCTCCAGGATGTTGAAAATAGGGGATTCAATGACAATAATGCCATTGAATGACAAAGGAAGATTGTGAGGAGGAGAGTGAGGCAATTACTTGAGAGAGGGCAACTGTTGTTCGAATCCAGCCCCACTCCTAAAAAGTTCAGGCCTTGGTGATAAGCACCATTCCCCACCCACTCACCCTAGTCTTGGCTGCTTTCGTTGTATTATGATTGCTGCTAATATCAAGGTAAACGGGGAAATCAGGTCCAAAAACAGAATTGTTGAAAAGTGCTTCCAACTCAGTGAAGTTCACTTCATATATAGCCAAACTGGAGATGTGCCAATGCAACAAGTCTAATGAAATAACTGCAGCCAATCAGAGAATTCCAACTCTACAACACAGACAATTGCCATCAAGTCTGCACTGGGGTCTTTCTCCATATGAAGCAGTGAGTCTAAGCCCAGACTGTTGCTGAATTCCAATGCTTCCTATCACATCCTCCTCCTCCCCCTGCCAAGTAATTTGTTTTGCAAAATGACAAGGTAATGACTGACAAGGAGATTATCCTCTCCAACTCAATAAATCCGCAAGACAAACTAAAAACAAAAATACTGGGCACGGTACTGAGTTTTTCCAGCAGCTGATTCTTATTTCAGAATGTTTAAGTCAATTGATTCTTAAGCACAGGCACCATTCATCTTTCCTAATTGTATTTGGAAGTCAATTCTGTGTATTGATTACTCTGTAAAGAAGTTCCTGGTTTAATTCTCAAATTTGCGAAATGGCATCAAGCAGCAAAACTGAATTCAATGGAAAGACAACAGGGAAATCTCTACTGAATCCTACCCAG